ATTATTCAATTATATAGAAATATAATATATATAAATAGAGAGGTCAGCTGAATATATAACCCTGCTCTGGGGCATTCTGGACATCAACTCCTACACACTGAGCATCTCACTACAGAACAGCTTAGTGGAGAGCATGACGGAGGCCTTACCTGTGCTCCACTGACTCCAGGTACCCCAGCTTCACCCTGAAACACACAAGATGAGTTACAACCAACCTCATGAGGAGTCTGTGTGTGTGTGTGTGTGTGTGTGTGTTTTCAGGCCCACAGAACACCACTGTCACCAGTAAACACCACTACATTTCCAAACACCCCATAAAGGATATACGGCCATCAGAAGATCATCAGCTTGAGGAGTCACGTCTCCTGAACAGATCTTACCTTCTGTCCTGGTGCTCCATCTTTTCCAGGCTGTCCGTCTGCTCCACTGTCCCCCTGAAACACACACACACTCTCCGTGCACACACACACACACACACACACACACACACACACACACACACACACACAATGTGTTGTGCTCGTCTAGAAATGCTGCTTGATTTAAGAGTTTCGAGATGTTTGGACTGGAACCAGACACACACACTCAGTGACAGCAGCAGTGGCTGCAGTGTGTGTGTCTGATCACTCCAGCAGCACCGAGAGGAGAGCAACTCACCCGCATGAGCTCAGTGTCACTGTCTGCATCCACATATCTGGAGCCAGAGCCGTCATGGCCATCCTGACAAACACACACACACACACACACACACACACACACACACTCTGAACACACACTACACACAGCATTCAGTAAAGGCCATTGTGGAAGCTCTTTCTCGTTGGGTCGTGATGTTTTGGAAGCGACTCCTCCTCTCCCAGCTCTACACACACACACACATCTGAGTATTCAGAGAGTGCAGGCAGTCCAAACACATGCGCTATAGGGGGACTGATCAACTACACTGGCTGTAGTGTATGAGTGTGTGTGTGTGAATGAGTGTGTATGGGTGTTTCCCAGAGTTAAGTTGCAGCTGGAAGGGCATCTGCTGTGTAAAACATGCTGGAATGGTTGGTGGTTCATTCCACTGTGGTGACTCCAGATGAATAAGGGACTGCGCTGAAGGAGAGTGAATGAATGACATCAAATGTGATTATCTGATTGGTGGAGCTTTGTTGCAGTGGGCGGAGCTGTGTGATTAGCTCAGTTTGACACTGATTGGAGGATTTTCTGCACTGCATCATGGGTAATGTAGTTGTTCTCTAGTACAGGTTTGTTTTTAATAGTTTGACAGAGTAAATGATTGTTACTTCCAGAAATCCTCAGTCATGGTCTACACGGATATTCCAGCAGCAGAACACCTGTCGTACCTTCTCCCCTTTGGGTCCTGGATCTCCAGCAAGGCCTGGGAATCCTGGAGGTCCGACTTCTCCCTGTAGAGATGAAGAGAGATGATGGAGAGATTTATACAGCTGTACTGCCGGCGTCCAGCAGGGGGCGATGCACATCTGCTCAACTGTAAGACTGCAGGCTCAGCTGCTGATCTGTGCTGGGTGTCAGCGAACACTCACCGGAGCTCCGTCTCTGCCTGCGTCGCCCTGAAGAACACAAACAAACACCAGCATCAGCATCAGCACAGAGAGTAGAGCATGCGAGAAATGTTAAAGCTTCCACACCGCCAGAACTATTACAGCATCAACAGCCCTCTCCAGCACTCATCATCACTCCTGCAGTCTGTGTGACCCTGCTCTTACTCCAGCATTTCCAACGGAATCTGAATATTCAGTAAGGGGGCAGGGTTTGTTGCTGAGCTCCACCTTTCACTAATGGTTGGAGGGGCGGGGCTAAGTATAATTCAACTAATCAGAGACTGAGCTCAGTTCTGGAGCAGACGGGCAGATTCTGATGAACAGAGCACAACCTGTTACTGATGAGCGCTCCAGGCAGACGCTCAGTATAACGCATGTTAATGATATTAATAATGCTGTTTATTATTCCCTCACGGCTGCTTCAACACTGATCATAACCACAAATCATCTTCTTCAAATCCTGGAATACTTGATTGTGATTGGTGGATCACCAGATTCAGGGTCTGCTATTGTCCAATAACAGCTGATTAAACTGATGACACCGCGTCATGTGACTGAATATTAATGATGATGACATTAGTGTGCTTCATCCCCTGATTAACATCATGATCAGCTGTTATTGATGACTGACCGTCTCCCCGCGGGCTCCTGGAGCTCCAGTCGGCCCCTGAGGGCCCCGCGGCCCCGGCTCTCCATCTGTGTGGTGTGGAGCTGGAGGTCCGGGAGGTCCTGGAGGTCCAGGTGACCCTCGCTCTCCTTTCTGTCCTTTCTGCATGGTGATGACCTGAGACACACACACACACACACACACACACACAGTCAGCTGACATGACCATCACACACGCACACACACGCACACACACACACACACAAACACACACACACACACACACACACACACACACACACATACACACATACACACATACACACACACACACATACACACATACACACATACACACATACACACAAACACACAAACACACACACACACACACACACACATACACACACACAGGAGAACTGCAGACACTCACGTTTCGGTCCTGAGAAGCTCCTTCTGACCTGATCCTCTCTGTGGACAGAGAAACACACTCAACATCTCCATCTGAACACCCCAACCTGTCTGCAGCTGACCACACACACACACACACACACACACACACACACACACACACACACACACACTGCTTCAGTGTTGTTTATCCTACAGCAGGTATCTCCCAACCCAGAGCGTGAAGCGGAGAGTGGGTGTGTGTGTGTGTGTGTGTGTGTGTGTGTGTGTGTGTGTGTGTGTGTGTGTGTGTGTGTGTGTGTACCTGTGGAGCTGTGCATCAGTGTGGAGTCTCCAGAAGCGTCCTCCTCCTCCGTCAGGTCTTCATCATCAGTGTACAGCTCTGGATCTTCAGTAGGTGGCGCTCTCACAGGACTCAGCTCCACATCTACTGGCTGACACACACACACACACATGCACGCACGCACGTACACACACACACAC